TTTTTTATTTTATTTTTTTATTGGAGCGTTTGGTGTAGTGATCCTCAGTCTGCAGAAGCATTCCAAGATCACCCGCTTGGTTCACTGGTATTTCACCAGTCGTTGCCGTCGAGGGTGTCCGTGCCGAAATTAGATAGCCGTTATACTTTTCTGCGGTTGCGTGGGATTCGAACCCACGACCGTCGTTACGTCTCATTGCGTAATCATGACGGCAGCCGGTCTTCCGGCTAGGACCCGTGGCATTTCCGCTTAGCCACGTCACTTATCTGCGGATTGATCAAGACCGGCCATAAGACTGAATCGGGAACATCAACAAAGCCAACAATCAGACAAAGAGAACCACAATACAACGATCAACCGGTAAGCGGGTGAACTGGGCCCGTTTTGGCCGATGGAAAATCCCCCGCCATTTGAAGGGCTTGGACTTAGTCAAAAATAGTTAAAATCTCAAAAAGTCGACCCCTGACAAGTATACTGTATATTTTCCTTCGATTCGGCAGGGGATGTGACGCGTGACATCTTGAACCAATTCGTCAATTCGTCAAGGCCGATTTTGAGTGTGACAAGGACAAAAATTTCGACAGACCCACGCATTTGTCTAGAATGATCAAGTTCACTCCGGAGCTTGTTCCAAAGCCTTTTTCCGCACTGGTTTGTGTTCCACAACACCAAATGGCCCAAATGCAGTTTTACCTCAATTTCTCCTTGTTTTACGATTGATTTTGGCTGGAAACGATAGCTGTGGGCTTGGAATCCAGCAGAAATATGTTTCAAAGTCTGTCCTCGAGCTTCGCATGTAACTAGAATATTTTAAGGAATATTCTTGAGGTACACAGCACTTTTTGGAGGAAAACGCGAACCTTGGAACCAATTCGTCAACCGCCCTGGTGACGTGTGACATTGACCAAAGTTCGTCGCCGTCAACACCCCCTGTGACGCGTGACCGACGGATTGAATGATATTATACAGTATTAGATATGAATAGTTTTCGATTCTCTATCGAACGCGCCCAACTTGTTTTTTTGGTGAAAAATTAAAGGTTGTCGTCGCCAGCAACGACGACGACGACGGAAAAATACATTTACTCTCTTTCCGAGCGGCTCAACTCAAAGTCCACCTCTTCCTGTGAGTTGTAATCACTTCCCGAGACTGAATCCCCATCGAGAAGCCAGTCGTCATCCATATCCAAATCGACATCTGCCGCATCGAGACACGTCAAAGTCGGAGACTCAGCAAAAAGATCCTCGTCCTCGGGGATGTCGTCGTCGGCTTCATCTTTACTGCCTGGTGGGGTGTCAGGCAGGATTAGCAAAACTCGTACTAAAGATACATTGCACACACGGTACATTCCACGGAGTCCACTGCACATAGGTTCAAACGCGGCACATCCGCTGGGAATGTACCGTGCATGCGAAGAAACACGACAGATAATCTACCAGCCAATGAGTGCTGTCAAACTGACTTGAATAAATACAAAATCCATTGATTCAAACGACCGTTTTACGTAGATGTACGTGGTTTGAATGAAGATATTTGAAAAAAAAATCTCAACGTTGCTCGGAGTTTCCAGCATCACTACAAATTCAACAATTTAGACAATCACCTGAAAATAATGGCTATCAGACTCACCGAGCGGGCTCTCCCCCTTTTCTGGGGCTAGGCTGAGATATCTTCGCCTGCCACCTGTTTCCGTTCAGTAGGAGCGCGGGAGCGTGTCGAAGTCACGGTATTTTGCTTCATCAACCGAGCAGGGCACATTCCACTGTGGTGACTGAAGGATTTTTGGGACTAAAAACATGACATCTAAACATGCCTTTGGCCAGTTTTTCGGCCCTTTGGAACATGGGCTGAAACTGATGGCTTTTCTGTCCTCTTTTTATACTCTTGAAATGATACCTCCTCGTGCCCAAATTCCAGCAGGAATATATATTATTTTTAGTGGTGTTTTGCACGCAAGAAACCCTAACCCAAAATACTTGATGCGGTTGAATTTCGAGGTTTCATGCAGTTCAGAGGCATTCCTTGAGGTCCATGTGTGATAATACACTCATTGGCACTCTTTCTAGCAGAATAGAGCCTACACTGACCTATTTCATTAGCCATTCATCAGCCATTAGCCATCAGTTTGCGCAACGCCAAACAGCCATCAGATCTAGATGGCTTCAGCGCAAACAGGCTAATGTATCTGCAACAGTGCGAGATGCAAGCACATGTCTTATTGTAGTGTCTGTTTATGAGACTACAATGTGTCGCCATTGATCCAAATAGTGTTGCCACGGTCCGGTTCGGTCCAGTTCAGCACCCAGATTTTCTGAACCTCGAACTGGACCTCGGGTTCGGTTCAGGGAATTTGCTGAACTTTGGACTCTGGTCCAGTTCAGGTTCAGACCCGGTTCGAACCTGTTTTTCTTCCCAGGCACCAGATGCACTCAAAATTCTTTCCAGGTCCTCCCCAGCTTCATTATCATTCCTGTATTTCCCAGAAGCACTCAACTGAACTCGTTGACAATGCTAAATTCCACAATTTGTTGAATTGTTTGTGTCTGATGGCAGTTTGATGCAATCACAAGTCTCGAAATAATCATTTCGAGCACCTTTTCAGGTTGTTTTGAGGACTGAAAATCGGAATAAAGTGGGCCTGAAGTGGGCTCATACCTCTGTGAGCACATTGTGCTCATACCAATGCTTTTTTGTTCAATTTGGGAGGTGGAAATCTGTTCAGGTTCGGCAGGTTCGAACCGGTTCAGGAAATTTTCAAAATTTCTGAACCTTGGACTGGACCTTCAGTTCGGTCCAGTGAACCTCACAGCCACTGAACCGGACTTTAGGACCGGTCCAGGTTCGGTTCAGGTTCAGCAGCGGTTCAGAACCTGACCACGGTAACACTAGATCCAAAAGACGGCACATTAATGGAAATGTGCAGGGTTTGCCAATGTATTTCTAGTACGAGTTTCATATATACTCGGTGTCAGGGGAAATGAGCTCTGGAGGCTGGTCATCCAGATGCTCTATCGTAAGGTCATCACCTGCGATGATCCTGTCGGAAATGAGCCCAGGTGCGAGGACTTGCGAGACCGGACCTGGCGCTGAGGGAGCTGTCGACTCAGAAGCCTCAGAGGTTGGCCCCGAAAGGTACTGCATCAGCGCGGACACAGGAAGCAGCTGACGCCGCCGCCGAAGCTGGGCAAATTGAGCATTGAATTCTTGAATTGGATTGGTTGTGGTGCCGTGAGCGAGGGCGGCTTTGCCAACAGAAAGCACATCGGGGACTGGCAGCTCATCATCATCAAGTACTCGACCTTCCTTCTTGACGTAGACTTCATGTTCTTGAAGACTCGCCATTAAAACTTCAATGTCGTTGTTGATATCGGGGATTGTGTGCTTATTGCCTTGCCGTGACCCGAGTTCTTCATTCATGGTGGTAGCGAGTTGACGCAGAACATGAACCGTCGGCGACACAAGGGCTAACCAGTCCCATGAGTGCGCATCACCGTCAGCTTTGTAGATTTTCTGGAAATCAGATCATAGATCAGTGAGAGAGTCTTCTTGGCACACCGAAATTACTGACTTTGATCCATAAATTCAAGTGCTCTTGGACGAGATCCACCTCGACAAATGAGTTTATTTTACCAGTCGGCCAGAGAAGCCAGTTATGCAGCCTGAGAATGGTATGGCTATATATGAATTCAATCAGCATCTGCGGAAACATGTTAAAAAAATAAGACTCGCACCGTAATTCATCAGACCAGACATTCACAGTGTTGTGGAGAACATGGAGCATCTCATGGGCATATTTCGTCCTCCCATTTCCGCGGTACGTGAACGCGAATTGCTTGAGGATTAGGGCCACACGGCCCGAATCACCGGCCTTGATGGCGTCGGCAAACTCTCGTGTGAGAAGGGCGTCACGGATGAAGAGGATCGCGTTCTCGAATACCATGTCGCCTTTCCATATGTGGGGTGGAGAGTCTTTCTTCGGTGCTGGCTTGTTGCTACTGGCCGACTTCCTTTGTGCTTTGGCTCTGGCAGCAATCTCTGCATCCCTACGGCGCTCGTCGGGTACGCGAAGCTCGCGGAGTTCCTGCACCACATCGGCGTTGGCGAAGCGGTCATAGATGTCCTAGATGTCCTCGGGATGTCCAGCTAGTGTTGCCCAGGAGTCGCATTCAATCCTTTGCATACCGCTCCAAGGTAGCTTCCACCAAGGCCACGACGGCTTTATTTCCATAATGCTAGGTGAGACAAGCATTCAATTTCCGGTTCAAATCTGATTCCGAGGAGAGAATTGTGGTGATTCGTGAAGTCAACCCCTTATCTTAAGTTGGCCTTGACCAAGCAAGCTAGGCAAGCCGAAGTCGCTCCTCACCCCGTGGCTGACAAAAAAGCAGACTTCGACATTGAAGCCCGAACTCAAACCTATCGTCGAAAGAAAGATAAAAAACATTCTGACCGAAGGCGGCATGCCGCCGGGAGGAATCGAACCTCGTTTCCCCGATCAAGTTATCGAACAGAATCACTTGGGAGGGGCGGCCACCGTGGCCCACGACGGCTTTATTTACTTCCTTCCGCTCACCAGCATATGGTGTGGTTCAAATCGCGAGCCCAACCCCGGGCCGGACGCGAGGAGGGATTTATGCATCCTAGCTGGATATGTCTAGACGAAGCTGGCTTGCAAAAAAAAAAAAAATGAACCCGACACTCAAGAGTCGACTCGCCCGAGTCGCAAAATTAAACCAAACCCAAACACTGCACCAAAAAAGAAAGGGACTCTCTCACTGCTGCATGCCGTCGGGAGGAATCGAACCCCCGTCTCCCTCATGAGTTTTCGAAAGTCCAATATATTTGGAGGGCGGTCACCATGGCCTACGACGGCGTGAATCCACCTGCCGCTACTCGGGATATCATGCATCCAAAACATGAACCCAGTCGACTCGCACGAGTCGCAAAAAAAAAAACCAAACACTGCACCAAAAAAAGAAAGGGACCCTCTCAACGCCGCATGCCGTCGGGAGGAATCGAACCCCCGCCTCCCTCATTAATTGTCTCCGCCACCAGTCACAAATTTGGAGGGCGCCACCATGGCCTACGACGGCGTGAATTCGCCTGCCGCTACTCGGGATGTCATGCATCCAAAATTTACACATGAACCCAGTCGACTCGCCCGAGTCGCAAAACCCAAACCCAAACCTAAACACTAAACCAAAAAAGAAAGGAACCATCTCCTGCATGTCGTCGGGAGGAATCGAACCCCCGTCCGCCTCAGTCCAAGTTGATATGAGCTACCGAACATCGGGAGGTGGCCACCATGGCCAACAACGGCTTCGTTTCCTTGATACTGTACTGCGTCAAACCCGATCACTGAGGTGAAGTAAAAAGAAATGCGGATGGCTCATGCCGTCGGGAGGAATCGAACCCCCGTCTCCCTCATTAATTTTCGCCGCCAACAGCCACAAATCTGGAGGGCGCCACCATGGCCTACGACGGGGTGAATTCGCCTGCCGCTGATCGGGATATAATGCATCCAAAACATGGACCTAGCTGACTCGCCCGAGTCGCAAAACCAAACCCAAACCCAAACACTAAACCAAAAAAAAAAGGAAAGAAATCAAACCAATGGTATCATGCCGTCAGGAGGGATCAAATACCGAGTCTACGGAGCCCTGAAGCTGAAGTTGAAGGATGACAGATGACAGACGACGGACGACGGACGCAGCCCAGCTTATGATAGCACAGTCCAGAATAATCGCCGGACCCGGATACTGTAGATGCGATGTGCGAACTGTTGAGCTCTTTGGCGAAGAGGCGAGTTGGATTTCTCGTCTATACCGCGAGCAGAGAGCAGATGGATGATTGGTTATGCTCACCGAATAGCGAGCGTGCCATGGAGAGTTGGAGGTGGGGTGACCGAGCCGAGATACTCCAGAAATCTCAGCGCGGAGGAACTCAGCGGTAATCGACATTCGAGCCAAACACGGTACTCTTGCATTACTCCTCCTCCTCACGTCCTTACGTCCGGATATCTTGATTCGCCTCCCTCCCTCCTCCGACCGATCAATCGCAAACCGAACCCGGAAACCGCGGTCCCCTTTTCTTTCACTTTCCCATTCATTCCTTTCCCGTCGCTCGCCATCGGTCCAACGGAGAAGGGCACCGGCACTTCGGTGCGGGGTGGGTCTAGAAGCTCTTTGGGGTTGACGTACGTTGGCGGATTACGATTGCGCAATCCAATTCAATTGGCCCAGAGAGGAGAGGAAATGGATTAACGTATGGGGTTGGGAGGGAAGCGAGGAGGATGATCCGCTCGTTCAATTTTATTTTATTTAAAAAAAAGATAAACAAGATAAAAGGGGACGAGAGAGATTATATATATGCGCCGGTGTTTGAGGTGAAAAAAACGAGAAACAAAGACTGGAGAGAGATTCAGAGAGCAGCAGAAAAGAAAGAAGGGGAAGACAAGGCAGGCTGATCCGGGGCTGACATGCGAGGAAGCAGGCGCAGGCTGGGTTCGCGTCCGAGAGGGTTGGCTAACTCAGCTGGGTGTGCTCGGCGGGGTTGGAGAAGCACGTACGATCGAGTTTTGGTGTCCGCGGCCTCTTCAGTTACCTCCCTCAGATTTCAGAGATGAATTTCCTTCCCTCCGAGTCCACGCTCAGCGAAAGTACGCGAGACAGGACAGCAAAGAAGGAGGCAGCAGCCCCACCATGTAGCAAGCGTGAAGAACACGAGGCCGACTCGGGCCCGAGAGTCCGAGTTGTTGGGACGTAATAGATTCAGAGAGAAGTGCGTCAGCTAAATGAATGAATGAATTAAATAATGATAGAGTTCGAAACCACTTGTCAGACTAGCTTTAACGTTCGTGCTGATTTTAACGTTTAACGTTTATTGAATGCGATGGAGAGCCGAAGTGGGGAGGCGAAGATCCGCCACAGGAGCATGTTGGAGGAGGGTGTTGGAGACAAATGAAAGTGGGGAAACCGTGGAGACGGAGACAGGCCGAGATGCCCGACGAGCGAGAAGAGACAGAGTGACCGAGAGCAGGACCAAAGACTAGGACGAGACCAGAAGATTGAATTGCGAGGTAGTGAAACCGAGGAAATTTTCGGGTCCTCAGCGCGTCCTGCAACTCGGCTGGCAGTCCTTTTGACCCAAGAAATCCTCGCAAAAGTTGTCGCTAGCTATAGACCGATGCAGCGCAATGAGACCCCTTCGGGCGTAAATTATCGAAGCCAGACGACAATGCAGAAGGCAGAAGGAGAAGCAACGCAGTGACAAAGCACGTCAAGCACGCGCAAATAGACGCGTCGCCTTCCTTCTTCCTTCTTCCATCAACTCCAATTTTTTACATGACACGGGTTCTCGGGTTGCATGTTGACAGGCAAATGAATTCATATAAACATCCCTCGTTTCGCCTTTCTTTCTTTTCACCACCACCACCATGGACTCGACCTCGACGCCGGGTTCAGTCTCGGCCCCAGCGCGCCTCCCGCCCTTTTCTCTCACAGAATTCCGCGCCCTCGTCTCCGCCGCGCTCGATTCTAGCCCCTCCTTATCGCTCTCCTTACCTATTCCTACATCCTTGCGCAAGAAACCCTCTGCGCAGAGCCTGCACTCGTCTCCACCGTCCCATTCGCACTCGCACTCGCGCATTCGTCTTCTACTGACCAAGCTCAAGAAGCGCGCGGCTGCCCTCGTAAAGCGCCGGCGCACACACTCGAAGCCGTCCGCGTCCGTGCGCGTCGCCGTCTCCCCCGCAGTGGATCCCGACTCTGCTCGAAGCAGAAGCAGCGCCGCCGACTCGCTGTTCACGCCGTACCTCCCACTCGCCACGCAGTACGAGCGCGTGCGTCATCAGGGCGGGGACCCGTACTCGCGCTCCTACCCCTCCGGCTTCGTCTGCGCGTCTCCTTCTCCTTCTGGTGCATCCCCCGAACCCTCGTCCTCTGGCTGCGCGTCGAGATCCGACTCGAGCCACAGCCACGCCCCGCCCTCACCCACCGCGTCGACGTTCTCTGCCTCCTCTGCCTCCGACGAGTCGTCCTATGCCTATGCCCATGCCCATGCCTACAACCACGTCTCCGCCTACGTCCCGCCGTACTACTCCTCCTCCGCCCTTCCCTACCCCTCCCCGAGCTTCGACCGCCCGTGGAGCGTCGTCACGCGGGACTCCTTGGCGCCGGGTGCGGGAGCAAGCAAGCGCACGATGGCGGGACTCGGTCCGAGCGCAATTGGTCATTATGAAGCGGAGTCAGACCCCTTCGCGAAAGCCGCTGTCCGCGTCGTGCACCGCTCGTGTGAGGCCCTGCCGGGGACGCACCATTATTTTGGGGGGAGTCCGGCGAGGTGGTTGCGTTCTGCGTCGGGTGCGGGCGCCAACTCCACATCGGCGGGGGTATGGATACGACTACACCGCGCGTGAGGAGAGCGGGAGGGAGAGCAAGGAGACTTCGTTCGACTCGGAGGGCTGCGGTGCCGGAGGTAGATGGGGCGAAGCAGGATGGGAAGCAGGAGGAAGAGGAGAACGAAGATTCGGGCGTGTACCTCCACCTCGACGACGATCTAGACCGCGAACAACTCCCCACCCCGCCACCGTCGCCCTCCTTCTCGCGCCGCTCGAGCGTGTTTGTGCCTTCTACCTCGTTTATGCCGGTGCGGTGTTCGACGCCGCCGCCTTCTTCCTGCGTTGCGCCTACAACTCCGTCTTCGTTTCCGTCGTCTCCCCGCCTCGAGCCCGCCACAACGACGACCTCGAACCTCACACGCGCCCCCACCGCGCGTACCTACCCCCTCCCCACCCGAGCGCGCACCCGCGCATGGCCGCACCGCCCGAGCTCGCCCTTCCCGCTTCCGTTGACGCGGAAGGGGACGACGTGTACTAACTAATGCTCGCTAATAATAATGCTCTGATCAGAACCGCACGCCGGACTATCTTGTACTTCTTGCTCTTGCCCTCTTGTACCGTCCTTCGTTTGTTTCGTTTCCCCTCGCTGTCGCTCTTTCACCTTTTACTTCTCGCCTTAGAATACGTCCCGTAGGATAGATAATACGTAGTGTACGAGTAATTTTTAGTTGTAGTTTAGGTAGAAGAAGTTATACGTAGATGGGCGTGTAATTGATTAATAGGAATGCGGTTGCTCGAGATTTAGGGAACGAAATGCGTTGGGTCTTCGTTCTACATCTGAGTCTTGTCTGCTGTATTCCAGTTTCAACACAGTAATCCGAGTCAACTTCGAGCTTCGGCTTCCAGCGTCAAGCTTCGGCTTTGACTCGTATAATCAGGATCAGTACACACCCTTGGGAAATGGAAGAGCAATAATTAATTGGCCATGGGTCGCTTGGGCGTTGGAAGTTGGGACGTCGTATATCCCATCATTCGCCTCGCTGATGCGCCATCAAACCAATCAGTCGGCGGCCGACAAGCAGATGCATATGTAGGGGTTGCAACTTGAGTTCCAGCTTATCTCACCTATATCAAGGGAATGAAGCCGTCGTGGGCCATGGTGGCCGCCCTCTCGATTTGAGTGTGTCTTGAAATAATTGGAATGAGGAAGACGGGGGTTCGAATCCTCCCGACGGCATTTCGACGATTGTTGGAGTTCTTTTGGGTCGAGGGTTGGGTTGGGCTGGCTACTTTAATCCCAGCTTATCTCACCTAGTATCAAGGAAATGAAGCTGTCGTGGGCTATGGTGATCACCCTCCTAATTTACGCATCTTGTAATAGTTGGAATGAGGGAGAGGGGTTCGAATCCTCCCGACGGCATTGGAAGAAGGGACTGTCCTTTTTCTTTCTTTTTTCTTTTTTCTTGGCCGTGGGCTTTCAAATCTCAGCATTGCTTCCGACTCAATACCTGACCCTCTTTTCACAGCCTTTCCCTGCGAGTTGATGAAAAAATCGTAATCTATCAAGCGAAGTTCAACACTCCCAGTATAACAAGCTGCTTGCCTCCTGGTGAGGGCACATATTAGGTTGGAGCTCAACTCTCGCTCATTTACTTATAATGGAGGAAACGAAGTAAATTAAGCCGTCGGGGGTAGCGGTGGCCGCCCTCCCAATTTAAGCTTCTTGGTAAAATTGGAATGAGGGCGACGGGGTTCGAATCCTCCCGACGGCATGGCGATGTTTGATAGAGGCCTTTTTTTTTTGCGCTGGTTATTTTTTCCCCGCTCGTGCCGACTCATGTAGTACCGCGGTTCATTTCATTTTATTCCTGCTTCCAACTTCCCACTTCGAGGTGAGAATGATCAATCCCGATCTCCGCGACTTGGTTATCTAGCAAAAATAGTGGGTCAATTTTTCTGTTCCTCTCAGTCAGGACTCACCTTCTACCTTATCTCATCTAGTATCAAGGAAATGAAGCTGTCGTGGCCATGGTGGCCGCCCTCCCGATTTTGAGAATTTGTTTGGTGATTAATTGGAATGAGGGAGAGGGGGTTCGAATCCTCCCGACGGCATACTCGGTGATTGTGTTGAATTCTTTTTGGGTCGAGGGTTGGACTCCATACTTGAAGCCCAGCTAATCTCACTTAGTATCGAGGAAATGAAGCCGTCGTGCGCCATGGCGGCCGCCCTCCCAAATTCGAGGCAGAGGCTGGAATACTCGAGTTCCCTAAGCTTATCTCACCTAGTGACTTAGTATCAAGGAAATGAAGTTATCGTAGGCCATGGTGGCCATCTTCTAATTTATATTATGTGTCCAGGAATTGGAGAGAGGTACGGGGGTTCGAATCCTCCCGACGGCATGGCATTGCTTCCAAAATTCTTCCATTTTTTTGCCTTTCTTTTTTGGTTCTGGGTTTCGAGCCTGATTGTCGGGTCGCGTTCATTTCATTTCATTTTCTTTTTGCATGCTCTGTTTCTAGTTGGGATGCGTTTGGGAGCGGGTTGGGCAAGTCCTAATTGAACCACATGGACCCCATATCCCGGTCAGTGGAATCAAGTGAATGAAGCCGTCGTGGGCCATGGATGATGGTGGCCGCACTCCTAATTTGAATATCCTGGAAAATTTCAATGAGGGAGAGGGGGTTCGAATCCTCCCGACGGCATTCGCCGTTTGATATAAGTTTTTTTTTTTTTTGCGCTGTTTTTGTTTCCCGCTCGTGCCGACTCATGTGGTACCGCGATTCATTTCATTTTATTCCTGCTTCCAACTTCCAACTTCGAGGTAGAATGATCAATCCCGATCTCCGCGACTTGTTTATCTAGCAAAAAATCGTGGGTTCATTTTTCTGTTCCTTTCACTCGGGCCTCGGGTTAGCTCACCTAGTATCAAAGAAATGAAGCTGTCGTGGCCATGGTGGCCGCTCCTACCAAGTATGTGGTATGTGTCCCATTTGATTGGGAGATGGGGGGTTCGATTCCTTCCGATGGCATAAGCGGGATTGTGATGAATTCTTTTTGGGTCGAGGGTTGGACTCCGTACTTGAAGCCCAGCTAATCTCACTTAGTATCAAGGAAATAAAGCTATCGTGGGCCATGGTGGCCACCTCCTAATTTATGCATCTTGGAAAAATTGGAATGAGGGAGGGCTTCGAATCCTCCCGAAGGCATTTGCTATTTGACAGAAGTTTTTTTTTCTTTTCTTTTTCTTTTTGGCGCTGGTTTTTTTTGTCACCTGTGCAGACTCAGCATCGTGGTGGCGTGGCGGGGTTCATTTTTCTTTTATTTTTGCCTCCAGCTTCCAGATGAGAATCACGATCTCCGCGACTTGGTTATCTAGCAAAAAAAAGGGGGTTCATTTTTCTGTTCCTCTCAGTCAGGACTCACCTTCCACCTTATCTCACCTAGTATCAAGGAAATGAAGCTGTTGTGGGCCATGGCGGCCGCCCTCCAAACCTGGCGTAGTGAGTTGTCCACTGGAATGAGGGAGGCGGGGGTTCGATTCCTCCCGGTGGCATGCATCTTCTAGTGTGGATCTTTTTTGCCCTGATTTTGTCATTCGTGCGGGATGCGAGGCGCATGGTTAATTCTTTTCCCGGTCAGCGCATGTCTGGTGCGCGTGGTGAGCGCTGAGCACGAATTACTGGCTGATTTAACTCAAGGCCAAAATACAGGCAAGTTTACTTTCAAGCCCGTAAATATATCTTTCCCCGGACCCTACCTATCCTGGTTAGCGAAGATTTAATTGAAGCCGTCGTGGGCCATGGTGGCCACCCTTACCAAGTGGTTCTTGTAGCTGCATAATTTGATTGGGGAGATGGGGTGTTCGATTCCTCCCGACGGCATCTGCAGAAACCATGTTCCGTTTTTTTTTTGCCATGTGCTTCTTCAAGCTTCAAGCTTCAAGTTTTTAGTTCAACATTCGAGTGCTTTGAATGTTTTTCGCATTTTGTACAACCTTTCCAGCGAATGGAAAGAAATCTCGAAGTCCATCAAGCCAAATGACCCAACATCTATGACGCCTTTGTATCCCAGGGAGAGCGCACATATTACACTCTCGCTCATTTAGAATGAAGTAAATACAGCATATGAAGCCGTCGTAGGCCATGGTGGCCGCCCCTACCATGTAGAAAACTGCCCCTCGATTTGATTAGGGAAACGGGGGGTTCAATTCCTCCCGACGGTATGCGTCATTAAAGAGTGTTTTTTTTGCCTACATTCCTGCAGCTGCCCTTTCTTCCACGCGAATCAAAAACATATATCTCGTACTGTAATCTATCAAGCTAAGTTAAACAGCCGCTTGTCTCCCAGGGCACATATTAGATCGGATCCTCACCCTCGCTCATTTATAATAAATTGCGTATATGAAGCATATGAAGCCGTCGCGGGCCATGGCGCCCACCTCCCAATTTTACCGAAACAGTTATTCTTTTCGCGGTCTGGGGAGGCTGGAATTGACTTCCTTTTTTTTTATTTTTTTTACCGTGGGTTGCCCTAAGTCTCAGAGTTACTTGTTGAATGTTTGAATCATGGGTTTGTGCGAGTCGAGTTGATTTTATTTCCATTTTCATTTGAATGCTCCATATCCAGTCAGGACGGGTTGGGCTCGCTACGTGAATCCTACCTTATTTGACCTAGTGTCATGGAAATGAAGCCGTCGCGGCCATGGTTGCCGCTCCTACCAAGTACGTGATACCAGTTCAATTTGACTGGGGAGATGGAGGTTCGATTCCCCCCGACGGCATGAGGTGGTATGAACACATTTTTTCGATTTTCTTTTTTGCCTTCGGCGTTGCTTCCGCTTCAACAATCCCGGTGCGTTCCGCTTTTTCGCCGCCTTTCCCTGCGAATGGAGATAAATCTCGAACACAGTCTATAATAATCCAGCCGAGTTATTCAACATCTACTTATCACAAGCTGCTTGTGCGTTTGTCGGTCGCTCATTTATAGTTGAGTAAACAAATCAAATAAGGCCGTCGTAGCCATGCATGGTGGCCACCTCCCAATTTGAGTGTGATAGAAATTGCAATGAGGCATGGGGGTTCGATTCCTCCTGACAGCATAAAAAGGGGGTGTGGATTTTTTTCTTTTTTGGGTCGACTCTGGCATGGGGTGGGCTCCGTACTTGAACTCCACCATATCCCGGTGAGCGGAATGAAGTCATAAAGCCGTCATGGGCCATGGTGGCTACCTCCCAATTTGGAAGAGGCAGGACCAGAATATTGAAGAGGGATGGGGGTTCGATTCCTCCCGACAGCATGTTATGGGATGACATTGAATTTTTTTTTTTGGGTCGAATCTCGCATTCGGGTTGATTGAAATAAAGCCGTTGTGGGCCATGGTTGGTGTGTTGGAAAGTGGACTGGGTTTCGAATCCTCCCGATGGTATCACTTATCATAGTGTTGATTTTTTTTAGTCGACTCTCGCGTCCGGTGGGGGTCGGTAATTGAATCCCAGCTTATCTCACTTACTGTAGGACCCTGCGGAACGCACTACAAATATTTATTGTTGGGACAGCGCTGAGGGAGCCGTCAGGCGAGCGAAACAAAGTCCAAGTGCGCAAGGGTGTATGCACGGGTCCGAATGGTGTTTAGCCTACGCCAATGTCTCGTATTATGACAGAAATCTATCACAACGAGACGTTGTATCCCTTGAGAAATCTACTCGGGATGTAGGCTTGCCAGACTAGAAGAGTTAGCTGTTAATCTGTAGACAACACTCACTCTCTCTGGCACTACGAACGTGAGCAAGCTGTTAAGAGAGTCTTGCGTATCATCCGTGGTGGTACGAGATAAGTAGTAGAAGTGTCTTATTCGGGCATCGGCCCGCACTCTATACTACAATCACATGATGTAATACATATCATATAAGCGTACGCGATACGCGCGCGCTAAGCAAAGTCGTAAGGATTTCAAGTAACACTGAAAGAAATGGAAAGAAAATATACAACTACCGGTTGAATGGTAGTAAGCCTCGTTAGGCTGTTGTAGGCTGTTACATAGCCCCCCAATCCCTTGCTGTCTTTGCTTTAGAAGTCGTGCTGAAACGCCGCCGGGATGTCACGCGCTATATCGCAGATCCTTTTCTTGTTCCACGATGAATACTGAAGCGCATCTCTCAATCTCGCTAGCCCTTCCTCAACAAAAATCCTGTTCACTACCAGTTTGGGCTTGTACGTTCCTCGGTTTGACGACTGGAAGTAATGTTTCCATTCTGAACGCGTTCTCGCCTTCCCTTTCCCGTCGTCAAGCTCATCTTTAATGTGTCGGAAGGTCCGGTCACAGAATGGGTTCCATTCGCGATAATAGTGGTCCGAAAATTCTTCCACCATTTCATCTGTGGGGAACAGATACTTGTCCTGCTCGGGTGTTCCTCCTTGAATATACCCGAAGACTGCTTCATAATCCCCTTCGGAGACGTCGTCCCAGCTTACGTCCACGCAGTTAACGTCTGCGGAATCGTTCGCTCCTGCGTGGTGTACCGTGACTTGGACCGATGGACCTTCCATCACCTTCCTTACTAGACCCATCCCGACGAACGCTCGCATCAGCCAGCTCGCCGCTCCTCCGCGAGTGATAAGAGCTCTGGCCTGCGGTGAGCGGCCTATCGTTCCCATGTTTCCGCGATATTGGCGATAGATAACTGGAAGAGAAGGGGAATCCTCCAGTCGCGGGCCTTTAGACCTCAGGTCCACGATGGCTTTCGTGACGAGTCGCGACATCTCTTCGTCGTTATCATCCCTTGGGCGGAAACGTGCGCGGTCAGCATTCTTGAAGCCAATCGAGAACTGTATTCCTCGCTCCATCGCGACCTCCAGCACGTGGCGAGGAAAACGTATTGCTGTATTTGTTACGACTTGGAACCTGAGGCGAAACTCGGCAGCCTCTCCGATGATAAGATACCCATACTGCAACACGTCCGGGTTCCAGGAATATCCCATCGGTACCCGCCATAGAGACGCTTCGAAGGTCGCTGGTCTTCCCCAATCCGCAAATCCATTCAGCCAACCAGCTCGTCTATCCTCTAGTTCTGCCATTGCTTCTCCGCCCGATAGACGTCGTCTGTAGAGGGGAGGAGTGGGTGCTCGGATTGGATAGACGGTTCTTCCGCGTGGAGGAGGGGAAGCTGAGCGTCGAGGGGAAGCTAAGGTTTGGCCATACGGCGATCCTTCCCTGCTGCTGTTTGGCAGGGAATAATAGGAGCGTGCGTCTTCAGACCTCTCCGATACCGAACTAATAGTCCTGGGATTCGGGCGCCTGCCATTGCGGTTTCCGACGTACCGGTCGACTTGATCAGTCCAGTCATCCCTACCCATCGCTTGCACCCAACTCGTTGCGTATGCCATGGGCTCAGACGAGTCGTACTCGCGGCGCTCCGAACTGTGGTTTGAGTCCGGCGAGGTCACTCTCGAACCAACTTCCCTACCATATGCCGTGGCGTCGTAACGTTTCTCCTCAGAACGGCTTGTACGACCAGAGAACATCAACCTTCCACCCAACGGTCCCGGGGGTGGATCCAACATCAATTGGTGTTCATAACGGGCCACTACTTCGACTGGGTCATCCTTGGTGATGGGCCCATGCCTCTCCACGCCTGTTTCTGGATCGAAACACTGTCCATACAGCGGCGCGCAACGCCCCTTGAACCTTTCGCGAATGGTTACGA